TCCTTAAAATTCAGCTTCTTAGATTTTATTCAGAGAATATCCTCAGAGAGACTCAACAAATTCAATATCATCAGTCCATGAATGCTCAGCAGAAAAAGAGTTTCTCTGTAAAATATCTGGATTCAAGGGGGGAAACTGAGAGTAGCAAGAAAAAAAGATCTTTAGAGTTAAGGATGACAGAATGGGGGATGGTCACCCAAGAAAAAATGCTATGCTTCTTCTGGGGATCTGAAGAAAAGCATTCTGGGTCTAGGCTATGGTTAAGTTTTACCAGAAAGCAAGATTACTTGGCTTAAAATCAAGCAATGGAGCTTTACTCAGTTAATTTTTGCTTTAAAACATTTTTAGGAGTCTTAAGATTATGCCATCTTTAAAGCTGAAATGGAATTAAAAAATCAGCCATTTCAAGCCTCTTAATCCCTAGATTTTATCCACACGGCAAAAGGCCCCACACAGTGAGCATTTTGATCAACATGAAAAACACTCAGACTGACTAAACAACCATAATGGTTTATTTCTGGTAAACCTTTTTGATTTACCAAGAATTTCCTCAGACATTTATTTCCCACAAGAAGAATACATTAAAGGACATATAATCATTTTTTCAAAATTGCCTTGTGTCATCCTCCTATTCCAAGCAGCGCTTCTCGGCCTCTCCTGCTTCATTTTATTCCCACATCATTATTCAGCATATTATATTTATTTGTTTTTCTACACCCTGCAATATACATAGTAAATGTATCAGTTACTATCCTAAGAGCTCTATGCAAATTTATTCATTTAATCTTTATAACAAAGCTGTAAAGTAAGTACTATTACTTTAGTACTTAAGTACTAGTACTTTAGATCCTCATTGCAGAGATGGGGAAGTTGAGAGAAAGCAGATGAGTTTAGTTTTAAGCTTGGTGAGATTGAAACACTTGTGAGATATTCATGTATAAATATCCAGGAGGCCACTGTACACAATTCTGGAACTCAGAAGAGATATGACATTAGCTCGAGATATCAGAACCTTAGTCTATGGATGGAAAATAGGGCAGCAGAACTGGAGGAGATCTCTTAGGTTGGTGGCCCTGATGTATATGGCTGAGCTATTTTGTGCTCGTATTTATTTGGAGTCAGTTGGAAAAGAAGAGGGGAGAGAAAAGCAGTATGCAAGTAGCTGTGAGCAGGACAGGGCATTTGAGACTGCTGGCTCTCTCTGACACATGAGATCAGCATTCAGGGATGATAACTAATTTGCTCTGTGACTTTGTGCAAGTCTTTTCACCATTAAGGGCATAAAGGGCTTCTATTTCTCTCCACGTAAGATGCCTGGGCTACATGATGTAGTTTCTGTCTTCAAGCTCCTGGCTTTAAAACTCTAAGAAAATAAGCTCTCAAATACTCTGTGATATTGTAAAGGGAACATCCTGTAAGAAGGGTGATTTGTCAATATCCTTCAAAATTAAAAATATCGATACCTATTGACCCAGAAATTGTACTTTTAGGAATTTATTCCGTAGTGACACTTGCGTATTCACAAAATAATATAAATTCAAAGTTCTTCGCTGCAACCTTGTTTGCATATTATAGATTGGAGAAAGGCTAAATGTCCATCAATAGGCGATGACATAAATAAATTATAGTATATCCTTATAGTGGAATTTTATAAAGTCATAAAACAAAATGTAGATACAATGAAATACTATATAGCCATGAGAAAGAGCCAAGTTCTGTTGTATGCAGGAGTGCGTAAATATCAAAACAATGTAGAGGAGAGATCGAGCAAAAGAAGCCAAATACATAAAAAATACACGCACTATGAATTCACTTAATTAAAGCTCAAAAAGAGAAAAAAGAAATCTCCAGTGTTACAAGCTGGGATAGTGGTTTTACCGCTGGGCCAGAGCTCTAAAGAGCACTAAATACACTACAATCTGTCACCAAAAGCTTCTCCTAAGTACATTTACTGGATCCTTCATAACTGAACTGTTACAGAAAGCAACTCTATAAAGAAAAAGGGCCTGGGATTCCACAATCTCTGGCCTTCAGAAAGAGCAGACTCATTGCATTAGAACATGATGTCGATGACTAGGAAGGGAGGGTACTGGAAACTATGCTGCACAGAAACAGTGTATCTGTGGAAACAACTGAGAATGACATAGAAATCAACAACCACAGGGCAAACACTCCATCAGTCTGCAACATTCTGAAGGGTTCCCATGGGAAGCAATGGAGAGACTTGTTCTTTGTGTTTCAAGGAGATGAAACTAGGACAGGTGGGTGAAAGCTACAGAGAAACAATTTTTCAGCTTGTTTCAAGAGAGCTCTCAAGGTGGAATTGATCACCTGTCAACAGCCGCTACTGAGGTTCCAGCTGAAAATCAGACAGGATGGAACCTCTCTGTACCTATGAGAAATCCTCACAGCCTTTCCCACGGTTGTGATGAAGAATGTGAGGACAGGATGGTCAATTTTTTCCTGTTGGGCAAGACTCGTGGGACAATAGCTGTGTGGTTCTCATACAGCTCTCCTTGACAGTGATATGGGTGATGTAAAGGCCAAGTTTAAATGTCATGGCCAACAATGGTGCTCATAGAACAATGACACTTAAGTGCCTTCCCAAGAAGTAGGAGGAAAAATCTAGTTCCAAGCTCCTTCTATGTCCTGGAGTCCTTGAAAATGCAGAATTACAGAAATCTATCTCGCAGCTGGAATTAGAAATCTCTGAGGTCTAGCTGAGCTCCCACCCATGTAGGTTTCTCCCCTGCAGCATCCCTAACAAATGCTGAGCTAGTCTTGTTTACATACCTTCTATAATGAGAAGCTCTCTGCTTCACACGGTGGCTTTCCATGGTTCAACCGTTCTCATTGTTATTGATAAAAAGTAAAAACAATAGCTAACATTTCTTGAGCTCTATGTGCCAAAATGTGCTGAATATTTTCCACGCCATTAAACCTGCCGCAAACTTATGAAACAGGTAAGGAAAATAAGCATCAGAATGTTAAGAATGTGTTCAAGCTCATGCAAAGTGATAGAGTGAGCTTCAAGAACTATGATTTTCACAGATAAAAATTTCAGTTTTATTCACTCATCTATCACTATTTTGTAACATGACTGAGAATCACCTTTACTATTATGCACTTAAAATTTCTTTTTAAATGATCTTGTTCATTTAAAACAAACTTAAATACCTACTTCAACCATTTGTTATATATTTGAAATTACAAAATTTTTCTATTAGCTATGCATTTTCTTTGATAGGTATTAAAATAAATTCACAACTAATAAAAGTTTTCAAATGTTCAACCATGTTTGAAGTAAAAAACATCTCAATTAACACCATTTTGTATGTACTATGTCTTGGTAAACATTGTCCTAAGCTGTATTCTCATTTTCGAATGTGTATTTTTAAATAAAAATCCTGTTTTCTGTAATTATTTTTCACTGTTGGTATTAATCCTGCCCTGTGAGCTTGCTAAGAAAAAGTCTTGGCAATATTGTCATCAAGACTGATTTTTAAGTGTCTAAGAAAATTAACTAGATCTCCATTAAGGCTTCTCCAGGTTAGTCATTTCCTGTTCCTCTAACCTCTTAGACAGGGTTTCTATGTTCCTCTAGACTCTCAGTGGCTGGTCACTCTAGACTCTCAGTGGCTGGTCACTCTTGCTTGAAATATCCTATTTTGTAGCTCAGCCACAGTTGTTGTTCTTTAAGGGTATATACAACCTTAGTTATAGAATCCTTCCACCTACACGCAGTAACTGCTTCTAATGCTCAGGTTCAGATCTAACCAAGGCTGGGGACAGCCTAGTGGAAAGAACATAGAACATAGTCCCAGCCTGGAAGACGTGAGCTATTTCTCAGCTCTGCCCACCCTTTAGCTATCATTTGACTTATGGGAGCCTGAGTTTAGTTAACTGAAAAATGAATATAATAATTCTTGTGTTGCCAGCCTCTCAGGATGGTTCTGAAGATAAAATGAGAACATCGATGTGCAGATTTTATAAATGATGAAGTTACAGATATTAGTGAACATTAGAGCAGACCTCATGGCTCGCATACACCATTACTTATTCCCTTGAGTAACCTATGAACCCAAGGTACCTCACAGCTCTTCTAGAAGACATCAAGTTGGAGAAAGTGGTATGTGGACGAGACTTGATGATACTCAAGGAATTCACGACGTAAGGAACTGCTGCTACGTTCCAGTCACAGTTCTAGGCCCTGATATACAGTGTTAATTATGAGAGACACATAGGAATGATAGTCAGCCAGTACAAACTGGCCATACTGATTGCATAAGTAGTAAAATATTTTCATAGTAATGGGTACATCGCCATTTCCTTGAGTTCTCTAGTTCACATGTATTGCTCTAGTTACTACAACCCCTCCTTCAAGATTCCTAGGCCTCCCCAAACGCCAGCAACTTTAGGGTTAAAAGGCAGATAGATGGCCTCTTGGTCCCTGTTACAGGACTTTGGCCAGTGTCAATTCTGATTGATTAGTGCCATGTGATATTGATATTTGTAATACCACCCTGGGAGAATAGGTTTCGTTCTATTGAGAAGATACAGAAAAAACAAGTGAATGAAACAATGCATAATTCAACTACGGATTGTGATAAGGAGTTGGTGAGGGTAATGAGAGCAGGGACCAGATAGCATGATTGAGAAAGGTCTCCTTGAGGAAGTGAGATTTGAGCTGAGACAGGAATGAGAGTGAAGGAAATGAGAACCAGCTATGCAAAAATCTAAGAGAGCACTTCTGAGGGAAGAGTAGAAGCCTTTAAAGCCCTAGGGCAGGAATGGGTTCGTCATGCATGAAGAACAGAAAAAAGGCCCATGTGATCAAACAACAATTCAGTTTGCCCAAGGGAGGCCAGGGCCTGAGCCTGTGAATGATGGCAGTCCTTGGTAACGAGTCTAGATTTTATCGCAAATCCAAGAAGTCACTAGAATAACTTAAGTACACCGACATGTGGTTATCATATTTATAAATTTCCTTGTTCTGAGAAACTCAAATCTTGGAAGACACTTCCTTTCCTATTGTCTTCCTACCAGACTTGGAAATCTGAGACTGATTAATGTCCTTCTAGAGGTAGATGTGGTAGATGATAATGACCCGTTTACCAGCCTAGGATGACTAGCTTAGGAAGGTCTACAGAGACCTAGAAACCCTGCCCTATGAGGTTGGAAGAACAGGAAATTACCAGTCTGGAGAAACCTCAGACACTTAAAAACCAGCCTTGGAGTGCCAAAACACTTTCCTTTATACCCATCTGAGCTTCGCCATATCCAGGTAAGAAGTTATCGTTTCTTACCATTTTATAAGTAAAAAGCTTCAGCTTCTGCAAAGAAAAATTGCATTTGTGTTCTACAGAGCCATGGGCAAGGATTATTTCACCTCTTTTGCTTATCGAGAAAGCAATTAAAAAAATTTGCCTCATTTTTTATACAATTGTCACAGCTGGGCTAGTACTAGAATAATATAGGTGCCATGATTCTCATTATAATACTCCACTCCCTCCTTTTGACATTTGGGAAACAAGAAAATTTTGTAATTTTTGTGCTAGTCGGCTGAGGAATGACCCAGCCAGCTCCCCATGTACTGCTCAGCCCACGTACAAGAGATGACTACCTGGTCAGGCATTCAGAGAATCTGCATGCTTTGTCTGTATGGAGAGGGCATACGTGCATTGTTCAGCTTGGCAGACATACACCACAGTTCATTTCTATCCCACACTTTAGCGATGACTAAAACCTGCCCAGAATATTATCTGTGATTAAATGCCACCTAGCCCCCAAATCTATGCTTTTAAATTATGAACCAGTTGATCCCAGTTGTAGAGGTGAAGGAAAGATGAACTAGGAAGAAAGAGATGTTTCTTTGTTCATTTTCCTAGAGGCCTCTAACTAACTGTCCCTCTAACTCACGAGAATCTCCAAAAATACAGAATGATAAAGGCATATATCTTCATGGTCCTGCTGTGGCACTGTTGAGTAGAAGAGACTCCCGCAGGGCCCTGGGGAAAAGCTTTGACTCACAGGAGGGGACATGATGTCGAGGTGGCATTTCCTACACCTTCGAAATGAAGTTTCTTTCTGAGCCCTCCTCCACGCTGCATACTTCCAAATTCTTCTCCGCTCAGTTCTTCCCCTCTAACTTTATCCCCTTTCATCTATTCCCTTTGCTTTGATATTTTCTCATCCTCCCATTATTGCATGTAATGTTCTTGGAGGACAGGGACCATGTCTCTTTCTTCTTTACCTACTTCCAGAGTACCAAGCATGGTATTTTTCATAATAAGGACTCAGCACACTGTAATTAAATAAAACAGAATATAACTATGACTACCATTTATGGAGCTACATATACCAGGTATGATGCTAAGTGCTTCACATATTTTATTTTACTTAATTCTTATAGCAATCTAGCGATATAGGTGTCTTCTGTCTTGATTTATGAAGTAGCAAATAGAAGCTTTAGGAAGTTAAATAACTTGCCCAAGGTCATATAATTAGTAAGTAGCAGAATTGGGACTCGATCCATATTTTTTCTGATGCAAACACGGAGTAACTTACGCACTAATCCAGGCTGCCTCTCTGTCTGACTACTTCATTATAAAATTGGAAGAGAAGAGCTAGAATGGTGAGACAGAGTTAGACAAGCAGCCACTTGCATTAAGGAAGCTGGACCAGTTGAACTGCCACGCAAAGGCCACATTCTTGACACACGGGTACCTGGGTATTAGAGGGTGGGCAGGTATCTGTGAGAAGGAACTCATTTCAGACCTTAAGCTAATTCCCATCCCCTTTTAATACCAGACAAACAAGCTGAAAAGGAGCTGCCCTGTGCTGAGTGTACTGCGAGTTAATCCTAATTTCCCTGGAAGAAGAGAGGCATAGAGATGTTTTCTACAAGTCTTTGCCTGGTTTTGTAGACAGTGAGCTGAGTCAGAGAGAAAGTTGGCTGAAATTGCGGAAAGGCAGACCAGCAACTTAACTCAGGATGGTGCAGAACTCTTGCTATTCAGTCTTTACCAAGAGTTGGAGAGCAGGATGCTCTCCTACAGTGAGAGTGGACGTTGAGTAAAAGTGGGTGGTATATTAGTGAAGGTGGAAGATGTCATTGCCAATTTGAAAATCCAAGGTCTTGAAACTGTTTCTGAAAAGGCTGTTGAAATGAATAAGCTAAAGACGGCACAAAGGGGCATGTTCTAGTGGAACAAGCACCAGCCATAGACTTAGGAAATGATGTCTTTGGATCTCAATACTGGAAAGAATCCTAAAAATTATGAAGATGGATACTATTTTGAAATGTTAATTAATATGCTTTTGTTTCCAGAATTCGCTTTGACCCTTGTTTCTTCCTTCACTCATTCAGTCAGTGCAGAATAAGCATTCTCCATTATTGCCTTAGAGATGAACTGACTGCAGAAAGCAGAGCAAGCAGAAAGTGAGTTGTTGGCTTTTGAGTTTAGCAGCCTACATATTATGGCTCAGCTACAGATTCAGGAGATTTTGAGAGAATAGTTGATGTGATGATATGAATGATAAGAGAAAAATTTTCTACCTTCAAAATAAAGGGTAGATTCCAAGCTGAGAAGAGACAGAAGACTTAGAGATCAGTTGGACAAAGAGTGAAGGGGCACAGCCAGTGGGACCACGAGGACAGCATTGCATAAATTTCCAGGGAATGGCTGGTGTTCATTTAAGTGGGCATCATCTGTAACCACGGCCCAGTTATAGAAGCTACTGCCTGCGGACGTGAGATCTTACATGTTGCCTGTTCTGCAGAGCTATAATGAGGTCAACCCTTGGACAGGAATCAGTATCTAAACCACTGATCATCTAGCAGGAGTGAGAGTCATTCATTTCCTCACTCTTGAGCTTGTTCTCTTCCCATCCATCTTACCCTACAATTGTCAATCCTTCATGAGCTTCTTGAGACACTTGTATACCAATGAAATGGGCACTTAGAGGAGTGGTAGTATATGAGAAAAAGCTCCCCACAGGTGGATTTAGAAGGGAATGAACAAAATCATCTAGGACTTCTGCATATTTGACAGTCCAAACCAAAAATAATAGGTTACCATCTATGATAGAATAATGGCCTCCCCAAGATGTCCACATCCTAATCCCCAGAATCCGTGAACACGTTACTTTACATGGCAACAGGGACTTCCCATGTGTGATTAAATGAAGAAACTTAGAAGATTATCCATGATTATCCTGGAGGGCCCGATATAATCACAAAGGTCCTTATAAGAGGAAGGTGGAGAGTGAAAGTCAGGAAGGGAGATGTGATGATGGAAACAGAAGTTGGAGTGACGCAGGGCCATGAACCAAGGGATGTGTGAGCAGCCTCTAGACCTGGAAAAGGCAGGGAAATAAATTCTCTCCTAGAACCTCTGGCAGGAAGCAGCGTCTTAACAACGCAGAATCTTGAACTCTCCTCTAGATATACTAAATCAGATTATCTGGATTTATGCCCAGACTATGTATTTTTTTAAAGCTACCCCAGGCTATTCTGATACGGACACCTTATACTAGCCCATGTATAGCAGGTTGAAAAATATTGAATCTAAAGTGACAAATCACTCACTGAGACCACTATCACATTCAGAATATTTAATGTCCCTTTCCTCCAAAACACCAAATTGTCATTCAGTTTCACAAGAACACCTAAAGATATTATGATCATCTCTTGAAAAATAATAACAATTTTGATTTATCGAACGTATCCTAAGATGATCAGTATACTAATATATGTTATGCATTGTGTCATTTAATCTACGGGCAACCTTATAAAATACTTATTAATGTTATAATCTACAACAGAAAAAAAGACCTGGAAAAGCTATCTGTAACGGGAAGTGAAAAGAAAATGGTTAAGTCTAACCGGAATTGCTGTGAGGCTTTACTCCCACGTAACCGCGCCTCCTACAGGTGCTCGGGAGCTCTCTTGTTTTTAAACCTAGTCTAACTGGGTTAAGTTCTCTGCCTTGTGACTGGATTGTTTAATCCATTCACACTTAATATTATTATTGGTAGAATCAGATTTACATCTGCCATTTTGCTTTTTTTGTATATGTTTCACATCTTTTTGTTCTTTCTTTACTTTCTTTTTCAGTAAGTGAATATTTGCTAATGTAACATTTCAATTTCTTTAATGATTTTTTTACTTTTTTATTTTTAATTGGTTGCTCTAGGGGGTATTGTATACATTTTAATTTATCACAATCTACTTCAGATATAAAAATGTTATTTATATAAGCTCTAGTTCCTCTTTCTCCCTTTTGTGCTATTATTGTTATACATATTACATCATATCTGTTAAAATGTAACATTACTATAATTACCTTATATAATTTTATGAATAGTGAAGAAACTGCAACTATTTAGCTCTGCATTTGTAGCATAAAAACAGCCATAGACCATATATATATATGTATGTATGTGTATCCATATATATATATATATATTGCTGTGTTACAATAAAACTTTATTTATGAACACTGAAACTAAATTTCGCATAATTTTCACATGTCATAAAAGAGTCTTCTTTTGATTTTCTTTACAACCGTTTAAAATGTAAAAATAGGCAGGGGGCGGGATTTTATCCAAGGACGTAGTTTGCCAATCACTTGACCTTCAGCAACAATTTTTCGAAATCTTTAATGTGGCACCCTGGGGTTACCCAAACAAGCTTCAGGGCCTGCAATATGCACAGGTAAAATCAGAGATTGGGGTTCAGCATCTTACCTCCATTTAAAGAACATTTTTGCTTATATTAGTTTTGTTTTCCAAGTTGAAAAGACTGAATTTAAAAAAGTGTCCAGGAAGGAAGGAAGGAGGTAGAGAAGGAGTGAACAGGAAGAGAGACAAGAAAATGCTCTCAGAGGTTCTTTCTAGGTCTGAAATTCTACTACATTCCTAAAAAGTTACCAAACTGTCAACAACTCTTGAACCAACATTCATTTAACCTTGAAATCTAAATGTTTGTATATTAGGCTGTATTTTCCTCATATCTTTTAAAGATTTTCTTTAGTTGTGTAACCTAAGTTCTTTTCCATAAATGGAAGCAGCATTCATGGAAGAGAATATGGATTTTCTACACCAGGGCCTAAAGAACCAGGCAAATAGATATCTTTTAGCACCCTCTTGTGTCCATAATAAATGATCACAACAGTCAACCCGGTTAAATATTAGGAATGTCTAATAAGGCCTAAGGCAGTAGGTGGGAAATACAGGGCAAAAAGAAGTTGAGGTAATGATAAGCATTTGTCTTCTCTTACTTATACTAATCTGCTGTAATTGAACACATCTCCTACAAACAATAACCCCCTACAAAGAAAAATGCTTCCTTGCTCCTCTTTAAATGTTACACACTCTTTGAAGGAAAGTTGATCACCCTCTAGGTATTTCTTTAGTTCATCATAATGAACCTTTCTCTTCTTAATTAGAGCAGTTAAGACTACAGGTTTTAACATCAGATTCTCAACTCTGCCCTTCATTAGCCAAATAATTCCGGGTAAATCGATTAGCCTGCTCTCTTAAGTACGTCTGCAGCCACTTATCAATAAATGGGATCCCACACACTTCAGCATAGTTGTTCCATCTATGATTGAACTAAGCATGGTCACATCCCCTCAACAGTTAGACGTGGAGGCACAAGTCACACACAAAAAGAATAGACATATTGGATTTCATCAAAATTAAAAACTTTTATGTATCAAAGCACACCATCAAGGAAGTGAAAAGACAACCTATCAAATGAAATTGCAAATTGGTGCAGCCATTATGAAAAACAGTATAGAGGATCCTCAAAAAATTAAAAACAGAACTACCACATGATCTAGCAATTCAATTTCTGGGAATATACCCAAAGGAAATGAAAACACTGACTCAAAAAGATATATGCACCCTCATGTTCACAGCAGCATAATTTATACTAGTCAACACATGGAAACAACTTAAATCTCATCAGCAAATGAATAAAGAAGTTGTGGTATATATAACAATGGAATATTATTCAGCCATGAAAAATGAGGAAATCTTGCCATTTACAAAAACATGAATGGACCTTGACGGTATTGTGCTAAGGGAAATAAGTTAGATAGAGAAAGAAGAATACTGTATGACCTCACTTATATGTGTAATCTAAAAGGTATCAGATTTGCGGTTACTAGAGATGAGGAGTGGTGGTCGAAAGGTACTAGCTTCCAGTTGCAAGATAAATAAGTACTCGGTATGTAATGTACAGCGTGATGGATGTAGTTAACATTGCTGTATGACACACAGAAAAGTTAAGAGAGTAAATCCTAAGAGTTCTCCTAACATAGGAAATTTGTTTTCTTTTCTTTTTTGATTTCTCTTTTTATTGTTCTATATGCTACAATCTATTCTATCTATATAGGTGATAACTTATAGCAATAATCATTTCACAATATATGGAAGTCAAACTATTAAGAACTATTAAGCTGTCCACCTTAATTACACAGTGATATATGTCAATTATATCTCAGTAAAACTGGGTGGAAAGAAGGAGCTCAATATAACTAGTCATTAGGATAATACAAATTAAAACCATAATAAGATACTATTTCATACCTATTAGGATGGCTATAATTTTTTTCTAAAAGAAAGAAAATAAGTTTTGATAAGAATGTAGAGAAACTGGAAACCTTGTACATTGCTAGTAGGAACATAAAATGGTGCCACCGCTGTGGAAAACAGTTTGGCAGTTCCTCAGAATGTTAAACATAGAGTTATCACATGACCCAGCAATTCCACTCCTGGAATTTTCTCAAAAAAATTACAAACAAAAACTGAAGCAATATTCATAACAGCCAAAAAGCAGAAACAACCCAAATGTTCAACATTTGAATGAATAAATAAACTGTGGTATATTCAGCCATAAAAAGAAATAGAGTACTAATACATGCTACAACATGCATGAACCTCAAAATACATTTTGCTAAGTGAAAGAAGTTAGACACAAAAGGTGACAATAGCTATATTAACTATTCAGAATGGGCAAATGCACAGAGACAGAAAGTAGATTAGTGATTGCCAGGGCTTGGGGGCAGAGGGATGGTAAGTGAGTGCTCAATGGGTAAAGGGTCTACTTTGGAAGTGATAAAAATATTTTGGAACTAAATTGAGGTGATGGTTTCACAACATTGTAAAAGTACTGAATTCCAATGAATTGTACAGTTTAAAACAGTTAATTTTATGGTATGTGAATTTTACCTCAATAAAAAAAAAATGCATCACAAAAAATATGTTGGAATTAGAAGCAAAAGTAAGATTTTTCTCTTTGTCGAGATTGCAGCTTCTGTGACATGTCAGCTCAGAAACAAGCAAATGGGTATCTACTGTCTACCACGTGAACAGAGAAACAGAGAAAGCTGTGTGCAAAGAAGCAGAGAAGAAAAGAATTTAATCTGTAGCCAGGATGGAGAGAGAAAACATATGATATTCCGGACTCTAGTTTTAGTTATCTTCATCCTGCCTGTAGATACCTCCTAATTCTTATAATTACATGTTTTTCTTAAACTGGTTTTTATTCTACAACTTGTAATAGAAAATGGACTATCTAATGCACAAGTCCAGCCAAAGGACTGCTTCTGCCATAAATGCAGTCCAGAGGAATTGCATTTTGAAATTTATTAGAGAAATACTGACATCTAAGATTAGAAAATACCTTAATTATTCCTCCTCATCGTCCTTCAATGAGTGAACACAATCACTGCACTATTTATAAGAAGTATCAGCAGACTTTGCTTAGAAAACTCTAATAATAAAGATTTTATTATCTCCAAGGGCAGATCAGTCCATACTTGAACAATTCTGGCTATTATAAAATTGTTCTGTGTTAATAGGCAAAAACTGATTTACCCAAAATATTATAACATTTGGAGTCGCTTTGGAAACAAACAAGGCATTCCTTTCCCTATGACAACTATTTAGCAATGTGAAGACAATGACTGTACGTCCGCCATTCCCCTGCCTCTTGCTCCCCTTGTGTGTAATACACATGCACACACAATATGTCTTCTCCCAAACAAGTATTATTTCTTTGCCCAATCCTCTCACAAGCATCTCAGGCTCTGAGAAGCAGTTAAGATGATATACTGTAATGTCAGACTTGAATTTTATTTCAGCTCTTTGTGAGAGATGTAACTGGACAAATCTGTTACCTCAGAGTCTCAGTTCCATCACCTGTGAATTGAACATAAGAGTTCTTCACTACAAAGGACGATTGTGAGGATTAAATGAAATGATTAATATAAAGAATGCAGCACAACACCGGCTACAGGTAGGTATTCAGTAAATGCTAGCCATTATTATTAACAATATTATTAATACTCGTGATTATGATTTTCTTATCTAGCAATCTGGTCTTACTTGACAGCGCCCTCCGACCGTGAATACAAAGACATCATATTAGTAGCTCTATATGCTACTATAACCATGGGATTGGAAGATTACACTCACTTACAGAGGAAACTGAAACACAAATTAAGTAGCTTGCCCACAGTCACACAGCTAGTAGGTAGCAGGGCCAAATTCTAATCCACGAATTCTGACTCTGAACACTGTTGCAACAGGCCAATTACGCCTGCATAAGTCACTATTTATTCACAAGGTGGCGCTCAGCTATAAAGAGTGGCTTGTTCTGCTAAGAGCTCTCAAGCAAAGGGATTAGCAACTCAAAATGAGGCCTCATAGTGGTAAACCGGTATTTTTAACAAAGGCATTTTCCTCCAAAAGCAGGACTTCAAGCAAGGAGAACAAGTAAATCCTGGGGATGTAATGTATAGCACAGTGATGATAGTTAATACTACTGTATTGCATATTTGAAACTTGCTAAGAGAGTAAATTTTTAAAGTAAAATAATAATGATAATAATAAAAGACTAAGAATAAATAGGTGATTTGGTTAGTAGCACAAAGTTAGGGTACAAGAGAGGCACTTTAAACACTTGAAAAAAATATGATGGAAACTTTTATGAAAGTTAACCAGAAAATAAGCAGCTTCCTACAACTAACTACACTGTCTGGTTCCATAATATGAATTTCACGATCCCATAGATACACTCACTGTTAATTCAGTCATGCCCTTGGAGAGATAAAAACAAACTATATTAAATTTAAACTATGATTATATTTATATATGTATGCATTACCTTTTACCTTTCCCCAATGTATTAAAGAAAATCCTGCATTGTTCTGGGGTTTTTGCTAGACCTCAATTCCTCCCCAACTTCCAAAGATAGATTTAGAGTGCTCCAGTTCTGCTGCTGGCCCATTTTTGATACAGAATAGGCAAAGGAGAAGAGAGACAAATGGAGAAGAGAGAGAGAAAATTTGTATCAGAAAGGCATAAATTGAGTCAATTAAGAGCACAGAATATAGAGGCTAAAACAAGAGAAAAGAAAAATGAAGGGTCACTCGGGCTCAGTTTTATTTTCTTTTGTATTTTTATCAAGGTGAGTTTTGTGGAGAAATGATAGTAAAGATTGAAAATACAGGGTTGGGGTGGCTGTAGAGTGAGAGATGTGAAGATTGAGAGGCATGGGGAAATGGAGGGCTTTGGAAGAGCCGAGTATGAATTACATCTCTGCTGATGTTTGCCAAGAGATTTAAGTAAAGATTCGAATCACTTGGAATTACTTTTGGAGCCCACACTTGATTTCTTTGAAGATGAACACACAGAGAGCTTCAGTCGGCTGGAGTTTTCAGGTTAATTCTGGTAACAGCAAGACTCATCAGAGGCAACCCCCGCTCTCACACACCTACCTTGGCTGAATGAGCAGTTCCTAGCCCGTTTTCCCCTCTCTGCTCCAAAGCAGAACTGGTCAAATTAGTCATTTTCAAAACACTGATAAACCAAAATTAAGCAAATTTTGCTCCTTTGCCACTTGTAAGTATGTAATATAAATACAAATCCCTTATACACTTGCAGGTATTTACAAGTGTTCAAACTTGTTTTTCATCTCATTTGAACTTCACGACGTTCCTGGAAAGCAAGTAAGGGTCATTATCACCATTTGACAAGACGAGGGAAAGGAGGTTCATAGAAGTGACATGGCTTTCACAAGGTCACACAGTCAGTATGTGGCAGAGCTGGATTTTAACTTTGATCTCTGACTGCAAGTCCACTGGGCTCCGTGAGATTGTCACCACATGTCTCCATTGTTCAAATGTGCTTCAAATACTACTTTATGGAGACTGCTGAGTATGTAGAGGTAAAAGCATTTAGCTTAGAGCTTCTGGGATGAGGTTCCAGCCCCCACCTTTTGATAACTTCAGATAAGTCATTTTCCCATTCTAGTCCTACGTTTACCAACTTCTTCATCTGTTTGTACTGTCAAACTCCAATATTCTGCATTAGCGAGGACAAAAGCTATTATTATTAAAGGCTTATATAAGGCAGGCACTCATAAAAAGTACATAGATTTGTTATTTGTTTGATCTTCATAACCTTGCAAGGTTTCAGAGAGGTTAAATTAGGCCAAGTAGCAGAACCAAATAGATTTGATCATAAATCAGATAGATTCTTTCTTCACAGTACCATATAGCTTCAGAATCTCTTGTTGAATATCAAAATATATGAATAACTATGAAAAAGACAGACCTCTCCAGATTGGTAGGTGGCAGTTTTAATAAGTAAGGAAATTTATGAGTCTTGTCTTGGATGACTGCAAGACATACAAGTAGATTTCCACATCCGCCTGTCAGAATCTTAAAATTTTATGTAGAAGCCTTGAATAGGGGTCAGTCATATATACCATCCAGACGGTCTCAACAACACATCACTCTCTCAAGGTTGCATCTTTCAAAATGGATCCTAGTATGGGAACGGCGGACATAATGTGTATTGCAAGGTCAGAGGACGGGGTGAGGAGCCTCCAATTGCCCAGGTCCAGCTTGAAGGTCAATGAGTCGCATCCTCTCATGATCTCCTTCAACAGGTTTAGACCTGGGTTTGTCTTCCTCAGAATCCATGTTCTTAAAAACTGTATTGTAGTGGAGAGAGAAAAAAATGGCGTAGATGATAGAGGCTCTGTTCATCCCTCTGGCGACCAAATCAAAGTTGTGACGGAAACAAGGAGCAGCAGCAGCAAGGAAAAATTGCCTTGGATCTAGAGGAACAAGCCATACAACCACGGAGAAATCCAAGAAAGCACCCTGCAACTGCAGAAGGTGGGATGGGGCGAGGACGCGGGGCTGCCTGGTCCGGAGCAGCCGAGTGAGACAGAGGCTGCGGCAGGTGCCTCTTAAAGGGGCCGCGTCCGCGAGCGAATTTTCCCGATGACAGACCTGCTCGCTCTGAGCACCAGTGCAGATTCAGCTGCTTGCAGCGGGCACCAGGGACTCACAGGGAGACACTGTCTGAGTGAGGGCCCAGGCGAGACTTGCTGGGTACAGAAGTGCCGGGAGCATCCATTGTTCCCTGTTAAGCCCACCCCGCTCCCAGTGCACGAACACAGCACTACCATAGCTGTGACTTCATCAAACTGGATAACAGAAGTTGCTCTGCCCAGAGGATTCCCTGAAACCCAGCTACCCCAACTCAGGCCCCACCCAAGCCACGTCCAGGTGTGTCCTCGGCGAGTCAGATGCTCCTTGCTGAGACACATACTGGTGGAGGCAGCTGGCCTCATTTTCTGGTGTGGCCTTTTGAGACAACTATAAGCATAGCATCTGTGGATTGCTTGCTGAATCTTAACAGGTAGCATCAGAGGGCCACAGGCTAAACTTGGCCTACAGCTGAACCCCTCTCAGAACTGTGCCACTGGACGTCTACTTCACAAATCCACACTAATAAGACCTGAAGACTTAGAAGCTTTGCTTAGTACATAGAAACAGACACAGAAAGGCAGCCAAAAGGGGAAGACAAAGAAACAGAAACCATATGAGAGAATGGAACAGAGATCCAGATGTAATGAAGTCAAGTAATCTAACGGATGCAGAGTTCAAAACACTAATTATAAAGATGCATGATGAACTTTTGGGAGGTGTAGAGAATTCTAGCAAAGAGACAAAAATGGAAATGGAAATTATAAAAGGGAAATGAAGAACACGTTATCTGAGATGAGAAATATATTAAGTGGAATAAACAAGGGAATAAACAAAGTCAATAAAGAAGAGGATCACATGCCCTATCTAGAGGACAGGAAAGCCAATCAGGTCACTCAATCAGAATGGCAAGCAAAAAGATGCCAAGACTATAAAAATGATTTAAGGAAGATATGGGACACTGTTAAGGCTCCAAATATCCTTCTGATCAGCGTAACTGAAGAAAATCAAGATGTTGAACAGCTGTTTGAAGAAATAATGATGGAAAACTTCCCTAACTTGGTGAAGGAAATGGACATAAAACCCTAGGAAGCTCAGAGAATTCCCCAAATCAGGGATCCAAAGAGGCCCACACCAAGACACATCATAATTAAAATGCCAAAGGTTAAATACAAGTAAAGAACATTAAAAGCAACAAGAGAAAAACAAATAATTACATATAAGGGAACACCCATAAGACTGGCAGCTGATTTCTCAAAAGAAACTATGCAGGACAGAATGGCTTGGCAAAAAATATTCAACAGGATGAAGACCCAGGATATACAACCAAGAATAATTTATCCAGCAAAGCTATCATTTAGAGTCGAAGGACAGATAAAGAGCTTTCCAGACTAAAAATAGACTAAAGTAATTTATCATCTTTAAGCCAGAATTACAGAAAATGTTGGAGGGACTTCTTTAAGAAGAAAAAACATGTATCAAAAACAGAAATAAAGAATGGTAATGACTACATTCCTATCAATAAGTACCTTAAATGGAAAAGAATTAAGTGCTCCAATCAAAAGACAGAGTGGCTGAAAGGATAAGAAAAGAAGACCTCTACCTATGAAAAGTGAGGGGATGGAAAAAGATATTGCTGTGATGAACCTAGAAGATATTTAAGTCAGACAGAGAAAGATAAACACTATATGATTTCACATATGCGGAATTTAAGGAATAAAAAGAACAAATGAATCAAAAACAGACTCACAAATATAGTGGACAATTTGGTGACAGACAGAGGGGAGGGAGTTTGGGGGTACTGGGAGAATGAGGTGAAGAGTTAAAGAAGTACAAATTAGTAGCTGATGGATGGTCACAGGGATGGGGAGCACGGCATAGGGAATGCAATTAGCATTAATACATTGGCTAGGCGGAGGGTCGGAAGAGGGAGAGAGCAATTGGGGGGATCATTTTACTAACTATATAGATGTCTAACCAATGCACTGTATAATCGAAACTAATTAAAATTTTTTTAAAAAACTGCATCGTAGCATCCATTTAAGAGGGACTTTTTTTGCTGATTCCTGTACCTGGGCCTCTGTCTTGGATCTAGGTGGGGAGAACTTCTTTGAATGAACCACGAACCTTTCCATGACCTTAGTACCCTTTCTCCATGCCTACTCATTTCTCATCCTGTTGAATTACTTGTCAAAAATTGCTGGTGCACCACCATCTACCTTCCTTTTCTACTGCACTAAACCAGGGTATACTCACTCATACAGTTCTGTTTACTAGTATACAGAAAAGTAGACTTCAGGAAGTAGAACTTCATAATAAATGCTTCTTTTCTTCACGTTTAAAGCTTGGGAACTTTATGTGGGAGGAGAGATAACTTCAAAATACCTGTTGAGACAAGCTTTGCACTTTATTCTGGCTGTGGCCATATTTCTGAAATCCACATTCTAAGCAAGCCGGACAGGTTTGGGCACTTCATCTATGTCAGTAGGCCTTCTTCAAGCCAAACGTAGGACTCTCCAACTCTTACACTGGGAGGGGAAGTCCAGCTTTCACTGGGGAAAACACCGTTTCCAAGTGAAACAACAAGAGCACTAGAGTTAACCTCTGAATATTCTGGGAGCCAACACGTGGCTCTCTGCTCACCCAAGGCAAGTAGATTTCTACACAGCTCAGAGATAACCTTAGCATTCCAGACCATGACAAAGTCACCAGCCCAATCCCACGCCCTCTTATAAGTCACAGAAACTGAGGGCCAGAGACTTGCTCAATGTCAGACAACTCAATAAAGACTGTGCTCCTAATCCTCTGCCCTTTTGTTAAAATGTGACACTTCCTCTTGGCAAACACAACCACCGCTGGGAGTTGTCCTGACCAGCAGCTATAGAGGACTGCTGCTGGCAAAATCTTCCTTCTCTTCTGAATTTTCTAAGATAGATCCACAAACTACCATATATGTAAATGGTGTTAAAGATATTCCATAATTATTGTGACTGAAAGGGAGAAAGAAGTGATGGAAGAAAGGAAAGAAGAAAGAAAGTAAGAAAAGGAAAGAAAGAAATTTTTGTCAATGTGTCAAAATTGCTGGATTATACCAAGTTAAAGTAGTGTTTTATTTGATACTTCCTGATGTCTTTAATATGGTAAAAGGATACTGTGGTTTCCTACTAGGGAAATTAATTTCCCCCAACTTATTTGTCCACAGATATCTTTTTTATTCCCTCAATGGAGAAGTGCACACAGTTAGTGTTCTATGAATCATACTCTCAGATAGCTACTGCAGTCCAACAGTCTTAAGGTTTGATTTGCAATGATCAGCAAGCTGAAATGACTTGTTGAATGTCATACAATGTGCATTTAAAAGGACTGATTTCCGACAACTTGGATGAAACCGGAGGGCATTATGCTAAGTGAAATAAGCCAAACAGAGAGAAATGAATACTGCATGGTAGCAGTTACCTATGGAACCTAAAACAAACAAACCAACAAAGCTGATCTCATAGAAATAAAGTGGAATGGTGGTTATTGGGAGATGTGGTGGTGAAAATGGGAAGTTGTGGGTCAAAGGATACAAACTGAGTCATGAGTAAATTCTGAAGATCTAATGCACAGTATGGTGACTGTAGTTAATAATATGGTATTCTCACGTTCACAAAAAAGTTAACCATGTGAGGTGATAGAGTATTAATTAACTTGATTGTGGTAATAATATAAACATAAAATCATCACGTTGTACATTTACAAACACATATGATTTTATTTGTTAATTATTCTTCAGTAAAGCTGAAAAAATAAGAAATAAAAGGAGGATTGAAATCTATGTATTCTCACCTCTGATGCCAATTACCTACCTACAACACCAAGTTGCCACAGTCTGGAACAGGAAATGATTTCAGTCTATAAGACTCAAAAATAATGTAAGCTGCATGAGGCCAAAAACTGTTCTGTTAACTATTACGCATCTAGCACAGTGCTTGGCACACTGAAGGTATCTATAAAGATTTATTTAATGATTGTGCTACACAACAATACAGGATCACTTTGTCTTATTGACTCTTCACAACAATGCTACGATTATTATCATTTTCAGGTGATAAATTTGAGGTTCAGAAAAGGATAGTAACTTGTCATGAGTTCACTGAGCTAGCAAGTTAAATATGAGTATATATAAGCTTAGTATTATTTCTCAAATCCTATGTGCATACAAATCATCTCGGCATCTTGTGAAACTGTATCTTCCAATTTGGTGGGTTGGGGGTAGGATCTATGATTCTGCATTTCTAAGAAGTTCCCAAGAGAAGTCGGTTCTGTTATTCCATAGACTACACTTTGACTAGCAAAGGACTAGTCCACAATCATAGGATACCAGAGTTTTAAAGGGAAAACTTAGGTGGTCATGTTAAAAATACAAAGCCCAGATATTACAAAATGATCTCTCTTAGGTCATTTATTGATGCTTACATCACTACTCTGAGCTAAAATTAGGCCAAAATTCCACTCCACACTACTATATACAAGGCAAATACACAGCAGGGAGGGACGTGGAAAATAACACTTTTCTACTGCCCTGTGATTTCCCACAAGTGATCATTATTAGTCAAATCCAACAGGAAAACAGGAGTCAAGGAATCCCACTGATATAATCCAACCCAATCAGCCTCAAAGGGCAAATAGCAGAGTGGAGAAAAACAGAGCATGACTTTAGAAGGGCAAACTGGCACTATCCAATTCACTTTATTCTCTGCAGAGACCAGATGAAGCTCATTTCCACCTCCTTTTCACCTAGAGTGGAACAAATGTCAAGAAAATAAAGAGAAAT